TGGGACGGCGGACTCGCTCTCTCGGGGGACCCGGGAGTCCTCCGCCCGGGAAGGCCGTGGGGGAGCCCAGCGATGCGGCCTCGGGTCTGGCTGCGGACACCTGGTCGACCGGGACCACCGCCAGATCTTGCAGCCCCGAGCACGGGTTCAGGCTTGGGTTTCCATGTTGCCTTCGAGTCAGCCTTGACTCCCGGCGACCTCCTGGACAAGCCCCTGCAGTTTTTGGCGAGATTTCAGAAGGGGTCTGCCGTTGGCTGCTTCGTAGGCTGAGAGAGGGGGACGGGCCCAAGGTCACCCAGCCGGCTTTGGGCCGTAGGCAGGACTGGAACTCATGGATCTCCCGGTTTCTAGCCTGGCGTTTTAAGCACTACACCAAACTGGCTCTCAGGGGTTCGGTACCCCCGGTGATACCCCAAAATCGCCTTTCCCCCATCCGGAAGAAGCCCAAGAGCGCAGAATCCCTGCTGTGGAGGCCAAGGAATCGGGCGCCTTAGCAGAGCGTTTCCTGGAATGCGGGGTTGGAGCAGGTTTGGCTGTAAGAGCCCAGATCAGGTTAATTGTTTCATCCTTAGTCTCTCATGATGTTGGGGGAAGGAATTGGATGAGGCTGATCCCACAGAGGCCAATGCAGCTTGAGACCCAGTTAGCTCTCATTCATTGCTCTAAACCAGTGTTTCTTAAAGTGTGGTCTGAGGACCCCTGGGGGTCCCCCAAGAGTCTGTGAAATCAAAATTATTTGTCAGGTTTTGAAGGTATTTGCAAAAATTTGAAACAACGCCACTCTTCTCATCATTTTTTATTTGTTTAAAAATATAGGGTTTTTTTCATGAAAAATATTTTATTTATGTAAATATCTAATGGGTTTAAAATTGTTATTTTTACATGATTCAGTAAGTATTCCATGAATGCGTCTATTTTAATTTTTAATAGGGTAAATATTGATAAATATGACCCATACAACAGAAGCTCTTTTGGGGTCCTCCGTAATTTTTAAAAGTGAGAAGGGGTCCTGGGAGCAAAAGGAAACACTGATTTAAAGTACAGTAGTATTGTCAACATCATCTGTGTTCCTAAAACTTTCCAGAACTGCAAAGTACAATAATGCCTGTAACTATGTCTTTCTCTGGAAAAAAGATCTATCTTTTCCTAGCTTAGTGCATTCTAGATTCTTTGATAGAGTGGGACTTAAAATATGAAAGGATGAGAACTACTGCTGTGGGGAACCTCAAACCTGATGGATCAATGGCCGCATTGACACATTGTGCTAAGCTATAGTTCATTTAATTGTGATTTACTGAAGGAGGTTCACATGACAGGCTGTATCATAAATGAACGACCCAGGTTGAAAAATGCTGCTCTAAGGTGTGTTGTAGAAGCTTGCTGGCTTCTACAGCCTGGCATCTTGTTTTTCTTTTCAGATAGAAATAGAGAAAAGCTTGTATTCAGACCATGAACTCAAATGTTTGGCAGAGGGTGAGCTTCTCCGTCAAAGAAATAAAGATAAATATGATTTTGCTGAGAAGATTGTCCTGGTCCAAGATATTGAAGATATGTGGGAACAGAAATTTCAGAAGTTCAAACCTGCCCCACGGATAACAGGTTCAAGTCCATGCTTTTTCCCGCTAACTTTGTTGAGTATGTTTGGTTATAGCCAAATTAAGATGAATTCTATTGAATTGGGAGAACGGCGTGCTTTAGGCTTCAAAAGACCATTGAGAATGAAATCAGCATTGTTCAAGTCAGATAGCAAAGACAACAATCTGTTTTTTATCATTCCAGAGTCCAGTATTCCACATCATAGTCTTAAGTTACAGAGAGGCAGATTCTGGGTTATGTAAGAAAAAGCTGCTTGAGCAGTCTGAGAGCAAACCAGCTACAAAGAGAGGTGGTGGTTTCCTTTGTTCACTGTGTGAAAGCATCAGGGATGCTTTACTCTTGATTCCTGCACTGAGCACAGAGGCCTCGTCTCACAATGTTTCTTTGATTTTGTGAGGCTGGTGAAAGTAGGACACAGGCAATGTGTGGAAAAAAGAGTGGCTTTCAGTGCACTCTTAATTGGGGTGGGAGGTAGAAGAGAAACAGTACCTAGGCCAAAGCAGAACTGATTATATACAGAAAAAGGTGAAACTTGATGACTTCCAAAGAATAATGAACAGATATCCACATGCAGAAATCTCATGAGAAAATCATATGATTTAGCGTTTATTCCACCAACTCTAAATACCAACATGAAAGTCATTTCATTTCTCCTTTATTAAAAGTACGTGATCAAGTCCATCCCAGGTTGATCAGTTCCAAGTGGCCTTGGTTCCAATAGGTGGATTAATCAGAAGCTGCCAACATTAAGGACGCTGAATTGTAATTGGATGAAAGAAACTATGTGTGGAAACCAACTGCAATGTGCAGTTTCAAATTTCATATTTTTAAACATTAAATATGTTCAGAAAAGTCTCTCTCCCTCCCCCCCCCCGACACACACAATCAGGTACTAACTGTCATTTCTGATTTGAAAGAATGAACTTCTGTATAATTTTTCTGCTTTTTCACCTGCAGGCATTTCCTGCTTACCATAGGCAACCTATTAAGTGGCAGTCTGCAGCTCCAGTGAAGCATTTGGCTGCTTGGCCTCCAGGCCAGCTAAAACCAGACTGCTTTTACTGTTTCAATTGTCAATATAAGTATTATTAAGTCTGGCTGAATCTAGGTCTTTTCTGTAAGTTTATTTTTTATGTGCTGCTTAAAGTTGGTTGATTTTACAATGTTGCTGTGCCTTAGAAATGATTTTTGTCAGAGCCTTGCAAAATCAAAGCCAATTTTAAGCCAAGTCACTGGGTGGAAATTGGATATTGAATTTATCTACATTACTACTTTTTAAAAGAATAATGGAGTGTAGACACTGTTTACTGTCAACTGAAGCAGGAAAGAATTGTGTGGTCGGTTCAGTTTGCAAATTACGTCTACCTTCTTGCTGGCAAGTTGTCTTGGCCATTTGTTCTTAGCTCCTTTGGGTCATTGCATGCAGCTTTTTTACAAAGATTTCTGAGTTGGTTCTTCTCTGAGTAGCTGAATACTTTTAATGGCGATTTTTTTTCTGAGCAGATGCTGACCGAAACAATGATCGGACCTCTTTGAACAGAAAGTTGGACCAGAATTTGCTGCTGCTGGTTAAGCAGAAATTTGGGGATGAAGATATATGGGTATTGCCCCAGACAGAATGGCAACATGGAGAGACTTTGCGAGACACAGTAGAACGGGTCTTGGTCACCCTCCCAGGTCAGTGATATCTATATTCTTTAAAAATTTTCCTGTTTTCCTTTCCCTGTACCTTCAGTTTCCTCTGTTCTATATATTTTTCAACTGTAAGCTTTTTGGGACAGGAAGCTATCTTTTCTTTTTGAAGTGTCTTGTATATAGTGTTATCTAAATAATAATACCATGTCTACTTTGCAGTAGTCCTTGGGTTTATTTCATGGTGTGGGATCATGGTGAAAGTGTGTTAACTGACTGAATACATGTATTTTGTGTGTGAGAAGAAAGTCAGATTTGTTAATTTTTGAAGAAAAAGCATTTTAAAAAGGTCTCTATATCATGGTAAATCAATGATCTGCAACATTGAGGTCATGTTCTTAAATATACACCTGCCTTTTTTATTTTTGCTTCTCTTGAAATCTCATTTACTTTCCTGCCAAGAGGCTTTATAAGTGCATTTATTTCTTCCTAGATGTATTTTCCAACCTTTGCCAATTGTTTAGTGAAAATGGCAAAGGTTTCTTGCAGTCTCTGCAACTGAGGACAAGTTAGTTCTGCTTGGAATATGGAGTTGTGCTGATATTTGATTTATGGTAGCTGATGTGCTGTGCGGCTAAAAATGTCTCTGGTTCAAACTTTGCCTCTGCTGTGAATGTTATGCCTAATGCAAACTCTTCTTTTGCAGCCTTGTCCCAATGTCTGGAAATAAAGACATCAACATTAGCATCTTGCAGAATTCTTGTAGGAGTATAAACTTTGATCGAGGGGCTGGATGCGGGTCTTGATAGCCTTGGTAGTGGCTCTGAGGGGCTTCCAACAGTTGCTACTGAATTGCAGTTTTTAATGTAATCGAAGAAGAAAAAAATGCATGTCTGAAGACTTAATTATTGCATTTAATAATAATTTAATGCAAGATTTATATTGCATTTAAATTCAATGAAAATAGCTTTAGTTTTGTCCTGGGTGTATCTACTACTTTCTGGAAGGTAACTGTGGCAACTGTGCAAAGGGCATTTGTAGCCCTTGGCTAAGAAAAAGTTGTATACCCCTGCTGTAAAACTTACCAGGTATTATGTGTGGATAAAATTTCATAAGCACGTATGCTGTTCTTCCCTGAGATGACTTTGGGGGAGATACCTGGAAGGTAAAATCAAACAGCTTACCTTCCACCTTCCTGTGCTTTTTCGAAATGCTGCAAAAATTTAATTTTATCTTCTCCATTAGGGTTCCTACCTACTTTGCAAAAGTGTAGCACATAGGAAAAGAAGAGACATTATGCTTTTTTCTTCAAAGACTTGAAGGAGCAGGAATGATCACAAATAATGGTTGTATTTGCATGGAAGGAATAAACTAGAATTCTTGGATTATTGTGTTTTAAGCCAGTCTGCATAACTTATTTAATTTGCTTTCTCTTTCTTTTTCTCGAAGGAAGAAAGAAAGCAAACCTGAAACATTCAAATTAGCATTAAATCCAACCTAAGGATTCTAGTTTATTGCTAACTGACAAGCCAGGATTTATGAGTGAATAACAACAATGCAGGGCTTGTTTGGAAAAAGGTTTGGATATACAGTAGTGCTAAGCTGAATGTTGGTGGCTTGTTGCTTTTTGAGACAGCAGCTAATTTCATGCTTGTGGTTCGCTTATTTGTGGTTTAACATATTGAGTGAACTCAGCTGTTGGGCTTTATGAACCATGGCTTATGGAACAACATAATGTTGAGTCCCAACCAGTTGCAGTTTAACCGTAGTTAAGTGCAGAGGGGCTTAGTACAATAGAAACCAGGTCAATATTGACAAGCAACAAAGCACTTTAAAAAGGGGGGACAGGGATGAAATTCTTGTTTGCTCTCATTGTGCTTTTTCTTTTTCCTCTTCTTTCCATCTTCTGAATCTCCAAGGAATCCAGATGCAGGCCAAGTTCCTAGGAAATGCACCCTGCGGCTTTTACAAGTTCAAGTTCCCAAGGGCAATCCGCACAGAGAGCAACACTGGAGGAAAGGTGTTCTTCTTCAAAGCCTTCTTGGAGGCCAGCCCCCAGTTTTCATCCAAGGAGAAATTGGACTACTTGTGGGTCAGCAAAGGAGAGCTGGGGGACTACTTGAAACCTGCCTACCATTCCCAGGTTTCTCGGTTCTTAGTGGATATCTGAACACTAGAGCAATTTTTCCTCTTCTTTCACCATCAGTGCGGAAAGAAAGGGGAGTGACTTTATTTTGACAGAGGAGATGACACCAAGTATGTTTTGTATGTGTAGAAGCTATGTTGGGTCCAGGACAAGGATAATAAAATAAAGACTAAATAAAAAAACCAAGAAACAGCAACATCTACTCTCTGTTTAAGCTGTGTGGTGTCTTCATTTCCTCACAGTGCAAACAGCCACCCAAGGAAGCAGAGTTGGTAAGGCTGCAGGCTAATCCTGGGCTAACAAAAACTCATTCTCTGGGGTACCCAATGAGGGTGCCTGTGTGATGCTTGCTGTTGTGTACAACCTAAGCTGAACAGCTTCTTTGCTCACTGGGACATAGGGCTTTCCTAGGGGTGTAAAAAGACAACTAGGTAAGAGGGTCCACAAAAAATACTGCCATGAGTCAAGAGCATGAGAAATGCAATGTGGTGGGGTGGCAGGTTGACTGAGAATAATCAAGCAGATGGAGAGACTGGAATGGCAATGTGCCCTCTTCCTCCATAATTACTGGATTTAATGGTAGGGCCCCCATTTTCAATTGAGAGTTGTATTATTTATTTGATTTATATACCATTCTGGATCTCAAGGTGACCTTTGAAGCATTCCCTCCACAAATGAGTAGTGAAAGAAACTGTTGCTGCATTCACATAACCTGGTTAGCTGAACCATGATCTCAATTCTTTGGGTTTGCAAGTGAGTCTGAATCATAAACTACATAATCAACTGATGGCCTCTCAGGATGCTTTCCATTATGTGGAGGCCCAGCATCTTCCTCCTGCGTTTGACAGGTTCTTGGCAGATGGGGAACTCTTGATTTTAACCAGGAAGGTCTTGGTGCCACATGGGAACAGTGTACAGCATGGGCTTGCATAAGCCAGGCTGAGTGGTCATTGTCTCACTTCGTCTCCTAATTCTTAATATCCCACTGTGCCAGGAGAGAGTACGCGTACCTGTGTAAATGGTCCAAATATAAGGCACACCACTTGGTTGAGCAAAAGGCAAGCTTGCAATTGGCTTTTATTCTTTAAGAGGGGGTGGAGTGTGTTTTGGGTAGAAACTGAGGTGCTCTTTACTAGCTGGCAGATGAGAACTGATCAGTGGGGACTTTGGTCTTATTTATTGGCCAGGAACAGGCAATCTTTGATAGATTGTCAACTGTTTCCAAACATTGTAGACTTGCAAAGAAGTAAACGGGTCATTTCGACAACATCCTTGTAACCTGAAAGAGAATAGTCTGTTCAGTTTCTGCTTTTTTGAGATGGTGTGGTTTCAAGACTTGAGCTACAGAGGGTATTATCTGGAACTGTCCAGAGAGACACATGACAAAGTTTATATTTGTGCATTCAGTGTTGGCTTCAGTCCTATTGTGATAATACTGCAACTCCAGAGTTGATGCTTCCTCTGGACAGTGGTGCAGAACAGCTCATGATGATTCTCCTAAGCTGGATTCAAAGTGGAGAATGTTTATACGTGGTGTAATTAGTAGTATAGCTTGGGATCTCTCCTTTAGCCAGGTAACAATGTCTTGTCTTCCTCCAGTAGTTTTTGGCCCCCTGTAAATCAGCTGGACTGCCTTCTAGTGTTAGCTTCATCCCAGATTTCTAAGTGAAAGGAAAATAAATTCCCAGCTCTTAAAATAGGACTTTTGTAATCAGCAGAGGCATTTTTGACCTTTTTATTTTTGTCTCTAGTACCTAAAAAAAGGATCCATGCTTCAATTACATAAGTACCATGGCGGGGACTCCAAAAATATTAATAGAATAATTGGCGGAGACATTACATCAACCACTTGGGAGCTTGTCTTGCTAAGGGCCCCAAATTTTAAAAGAAGAAAAGGAAAAAACTTTATCTCCCCCCGCCCCACGCCAAAATGCTGCAGGCTACTTAAAGTGCAGCACGTCAGCTTTTTATTTTGTAAAAGCCAGGCTGCTGTTCCCAAGCTGTAGGCTTGCAATAAATAAAATAGATTTCTACAGCTTGCAGCCCCCTCCAACCTTCCTGTGTTCTGAAAACACCCTGGGAGGTTCCTTAGGGACTCAGCTGCTAAGATTTGGACAGGCAGAGCAATTGCAGGCTGTGAAGGGAAAAATAAAGAGGTAGGTATGGAGTTAGGCCAAAGAACTGCAAATTAGTTTCCCAAGGTCTGGTGTAACTAAAGTTTCTCGTGATGGGTGGGTGGGGAGGAGGAGGTTAAAGGCAACAGACTGTATTGCTAAGGGAAGGGCATGACAAAGTTTATTTGTGTGCATTCCCCATTGGCTTGGGTTGAGTCCTGATGTACATTAGAGCGTGATGCCTCCAGGGTGATACCAGATCTGGAGAGTGATAAAAAATGACTGTTGAGGACTGAGTAACTTGTGCCCCTTTAGAGTTCTTGCAATTGTAACTCCCACTTGGTGGCCCCCAAAACACTACAAAACATTGCAGCTGCCAGCAGAATGTGGCACCTTTAATTCTGCCCTCAAAAGGTGCAAAGTTGTGGGTTAAACTTTAGATTTAGCATACTTAATTGGCAACGGGAATCCTCCATTCTTAAAAAAAAAAACTCCATCCCCCAAAATACTGTTCGATGGACCTCGGAGATCCAGATTTTTAAAGAAATACAGGTAGTGTCCTTTCTGTAGCAAAGAAGCTTTTCTCCGTTGACCTTGAGGTGCAAGGAATCCCAACTTCCAGAGAAGCAAAAGCAGGGTGATTGGGGGGTTGTGCTTCATTAGACTATAACTGGGGTGTTTTGAGTCTTGGAAAAGCCTGGAAGAGTTGCTCTTCATGGGGGTAGACTGGAGTTTGGGCCTTCCTGATTTCAATTTCAGTTCTGGTTTGTTTAGAATCATAGAGGGGACCGGACTTTGGCTATTCTACATGTCTTAACACAGTCTTATTGCTGAATTGTAGCAATAGGATATTTGGTGAGTGGGGGGTGTGGATGTTCAAACAACTGTTGGTTGTATTGTCTGCGTTCATGTAACACACTTAGGTCAAAATACGCTTGGCTGGTTAGCAGCTTAGTGTGTCATGTGAACTAAGCCAGTGTAGTAAGTATATGGTTCTGCATACTTGTGAAGAATAATATTGATGACGATAATTTATTAAACTTTTATGCTCGTGATTCTCAATGACTCTGGGTGACTCCCAACAAAGAAATTACAATAAAATCAATGAAATATGAAAAATAAAGATAAATGATGGCAAGCATGATGAAGGGAGGCCTCTTACTCTCCCTCTGAAGGCCTGGGTGAAAAGCCAATTCAGTTGGGCCCATTCAGTGAACTGTAAATCATGGTTTAGCATTTTGTGAGAACAAAGCAACTCACTGGTACCATGGATATGGGGAAAAAAGAGTTTCAAAGACTGGTAGAACTCAAAATTTAGTCAATGCATCCTATATAATAGAACTGAGCCATTAAAGCTTTCTGACATCAA